AAACTTCTTCCAGGAAAGAAAAAAGCAAAGCAGAGCAAAGCACACCTCTATTCCTTCACAGGAGACACAGCAGTATCACACGCCAAGAAAGAGACACTGTGGGGAGTAAAATGTGACTTCAGTATTTCCTTAGAACAGTGGGAAGGGGAGAAAAGAAAAAGGCCCTGGATTGTCTGATAATTGTGCAGAAAGCAGCATCGCACCCACATTTTCAGAAAGCCACAAGAGTGTGTGGGCTCTCTGTTTTTGGAACAAGAGCACAGTGAAAGCAAGCTTGTTTACTTTAGACACTGTACAAAGACTTTTTTTTTAAATAAATGCTTGAAAGGATGCCTCCTCTCTGAGGAGTTAGCAGAAAATAAAAGGCAGATTTATATGTCTAATCTATGCAAATATCTACGCTACAGGGCATCACAAAGACTGCTTTATATCAGACAGTATGCAGATCCCAGGTGCTTTAAACATGCCAAAAGCACAGGCAGCATCTCCATCTGCGATGGCTGCTCACTGAGAACAGCTGGATGACTAAAAAGAGGTTGTCTAAGTAGCCTTCCATGAAAAATGCTTTTTGCTAATGTGCCAATCCCCATACTCCCACCCGAATTACTCCTGCTATAACAGCCATCGAGTCTGAAAAGGAGTTTTTGTTGTTGTTTGCTTATTTTGTTTTTTTTAATTCTGTTTATCACAAATTCTTCTAGAAATTTTCAAATTGTAGAAATAATGACATGATGAAAACTCCTACTAACAACTTAAGGAATTATCATGGAGTTTGAATTAATCTGTAAAAATAGAAAACATCTGTGGGACTGGGGACCAGTAGAATGCCATGACCAGTGGGCAGGGAGATGCTGGAGTCACTGAGATGTTGGAAGAGACAGGATTAAGAACAAGGAATATATACAGATGAGAGCCTCAATTCAAGAGAAAAGAAAAAGAGTAGAAAGAGTAGAGAAATAAGAGGCCTAGAAGGTAGGAAATAGCTTTCCTAGGAGGCAGCAGAAGGCTTGATGCCAAGAGTACAATGCTCTGAAAGCAAGGCATAGCAATATTTATGTCATGGCCACTACCAGAAACAAAAACCAGGTACTCTACAACTGGTGTCTGCTTTCTGTATATTTCCTGGGACATCCTTGGGAAGCATCCATCACAAGTCAGGAAACATGACAGCCCTGAGTAGCCCCAGCATTTGCATTCAAAACCACAAATTGAACAAGGCTGACAATGTCCTGCAGGTGCTTCTTATCCTGTCCCAGTGATTAACTTCATCCAAAGAGAAGAAACCTCTACACCACCAACATTTTCATCTTCAAGCATCAGTCTTGTGTCAAAGAAGGAAAGAACTGCAAGTCAGAGTCAGATGTGACCTACTAAAACAATTAATGTGCTCCCCAGAGTACTCTTCACTTCATCCCTTCTTGCAGGACTCAGAGGTTGGCTTCTAAGAGCTTAAAAGCTAAATAAACTGCTCTGGCACTCTTGTCTTTTCATTTTCTTTACCACAGTCTCTCATATTATCAGAAACACCTCTTCCAAATTAACTACAGGCATCCATCCCACATGAAGACATGGCAGTACTTGTGTTTATTTGGCAGGTGCCTGCAGCTCTACAGGTCCTAAATAACCAGTTACATGGCCAGCCCAGGTAGCCACTCACCCACTCAGCATCAATCCACAATTTGAAATTATGGGGTCATTTGGGCACAAACTGAAATACATGGCACGCCTTCTAACCATAAACCCCTTCTTTATTGGGGATGTGAAAAGATTTCCCAGAATAAGTGTGGAATCTCTCCTTCCATTAATATATTCCACTGTCCTAGAGCAATCTTCTCTAGTTGACCTTGCTCTGAGCAGACAATCTCCAGAGATACCTTCCAACCTCAACCATTCTGAAACTGCTGCTTGCATTTGACTTCAGCAAATCACCTGTCCTTCCCACGCTGTGACTCCCTGTGAGGGACAGCACTGACTCCTCACGACACTGCTGTTCCACTCCTCTCCCAGCATGGCACATGTGGACAGGTGTCCAGCGAGTCTGTCCAGCACTGGGACACAGCTCTTGGAGCAGTGTAACTCAGCCTTACTTGTGCCTGCACACTTGGCTTGTCAATACAGGAAGGTACCAGAGCAACCATGAAGAGCTCCTGACCACTACCAATACCTGCAGGCAGTTAAAATCCATGGGCCTGGAGGCATAATTAGCATTTTCTACTTCTAGCAGTCATGATAAGATGAAAAGGAGTTATAATTTTATAAATACTGTAGTGTTGGTACCAGGATGCTTCCTGTTGGTTCCAACCACCGAACAACAGCCAAACACAAAATGGTTCACATATTGTCTTGAAAAGATCTTTCAGGTGATATTTCACATAAAATTATTAAGGAACACTACCTCAGAGCCAGTGACCAACACCCTAAGTGATGCTCCTCTCAACCAACAGAGTCTAAAAGACTTGCATCATTTTCCCTTTGTGTAATGACAATATGTGCGACACAGGAGGTTGCAGCCACTGGAAACAGGAAGGAATATTCAATTTGGCGACAAATTTCTCAAAACCAGCTATCAAGTCTATAATCCTACAGATCAGAGGCAGAGTAAAACAGCTCAGGAAACCAACTCCCTAGTGTTTGAATACTTGTGCATTATGTCAGTGTTTGCTGAAGCATTCTCAGAAGACTTCATCATCTTCAGAGAATATTAATCAACCTTGGAAACCCTGGAGTCTACAATTAACTAAAAGCTTGCTGCTGAGAGATGGGTTTCACCTTCAACTCCAAGCACAGCCAGGCAAGCTCAGGGCTGGAGGTGTTTCCACTTGGAGAGGGTTACAAAGGTGACAGGTCCACTGCTGGCAGTATGGTCACCACCTCTGCATCTCTGGCCTTTGGTGGTGGTTGTGTTTTGGGGTTGGGTTTGTTTGTGGTGCTTCTGCAGCCTCCCAGAAGGGGATGAAGTGTCTCATCACAAGTTCTGCATTTCAGACAGATTTGTCATTTGTACCTAAATATAACTCAAATACACAGGCACTGAGTGGGCGAGTCCATTGCCTACCTCAACATCACATGTAATCATATCATGATCAAGTCTAATCCTAGAAGCAGACACCAACAAAATAAAAGCAAATGTTGAATTAATTTACCAAGAGCCAAGAAAAACCCCTATAAGCCCACATCCATCTGTGCATCTAATCAGGTTTTAAACTAAGCCTTTCTCTGCCAGTTGTTTCAGAAGAACCCTCCAGGTCCCCACCGTTGCCTCCAATATGAATCTACCTATTGCTGAAGGTTTGCTGCCATCACACCATCTCCAGTGCAGCAATTCCACTCCATGAAACAACAAACAAATCTTAACAGGCTATTCTATATCTGAAATCCTCTAGTAAACTGCTACACACCTTTAAAGAAACATAAAAGGCACTTATAAGACTCTACAGCTTATGCTATCAATCACTTCAGAAAGAAAAACAATTCAGCAGCAGCCACTCCAATTGAGAGTGCTGTGAAGTTCAATTGTCACTGAAATGCTTTGTTATTACCAGCCTGGGCAGAATGAGCAAATATACCTCTGCAGGTGAGCTATGAATGAGCAATCAGCACTGCAGGCTGCAGCTTGAAAAGATAATAGCACACAAGCAGCCACAATGCTTCCTTGCACACAACCAGGCCAGGATTGGGCTGACAAATTGAGCAACACAACATTTCAGACATTCCGTCTGCACGTTAAAATAATTCTGAAGGAAAAGGTACTGAGGCTTTCCTCTCCCAGTACCTAAAAGCAGGAACACACAGATACAGACAAGCATCAGTGTTTGGTCTGTTCTCAGAGAACCTGAAGTTTTATGATGCTTTTATGCCACTCTTTGGCAAGAATTCAGCACACACAGTTGTCAAGGGATGGCTTGACAGCTGCCATTTCAAGACACAACTTTTTCACATCCTAACAATACCAACTTCCCAGTTCAGTGTCAAATAAAGATCCTTTAAAATATGCAATCTGCAATATAAAAAAAATGCTTCATGTCTTGGATGCCTTCTAGAATTAAGGCCACTCTTTCTTCACTATTTATATATCTTTTCCTAGCTACCATGACCATGTGGTGAATTCCAGGATTTCAGCAACATCAGGTTTTTTCAGTGGCAAGGCCTCTGCCACCCTGAAGCCTTAATCCACTTATTCCAGGCTTTACCTTCAGTTGTGCTGATACAACTTTGCTCAGAGAAGATAAATGAAATAATTTTGGTTAAAAAGAAAACAGTTCTGCCCCTTTTTAGGTGAGGTGGGCTTTTTTCTCCTCGCTCTCTTTTTTGTATTATTAAATTTCAGTACAGCACAGATGTGCAAAAACCACCCAGTGATGTGGTTTACAAAAATAGCCCCTCAAAACAGTTGTATTATTACAACTGCAGCACAGGGCTCTGAATAAAAGAGTAATTCCCACTGAAGTTGTTTGCAAAGGTACGCCCTGATCATAATTAAAGGACTAATGCCCTCTTAACAGTTTTAATCTTTTTGTGAAGCATAAGGGAAAATCAAGAGTGGGATGAGCAAAACCTGGAAAAAAAAATGCCAAAGTTCACTTTCACCAAAGCACATGTAGGCTTAAGGATAATAAACTAAAACTCTATATAGAGTTCCTTTGTGGCTTCCTTTTCACCAGTAGAAAGTTACAGAAGAAAATCCATGGTCGCCATGGTCCTTTCTAAAATTTATGTCAGATTTTTAGTCATATGACTCCCATTTTTTCCCCTGCAGTTGGTCATGCACAATCTTCCAGTGAGACAGGTTTTTTTTTTCTTCTTCCCAAGCAGACATAATCAAGTGGTGACTTCTCCCATTTTTTCCCATTTGGGTAATCATCAGGAAAGGAAATAAGCAGCTGATACCTGAGCAAATATGGAATGCCAGAAACAGAGCAAGTGTTTCTCTCAGATGCTCTGTCACAGTCCCATTCTCTCTCAGCCCTATCCCAACACTGTGAACAGAGGGAAGCACATACCTTGTCACCTCCTGCTGCAGTCGGGAAACACTGGGCACATAGAACATCACCCCAAAGAAAAGCAAAGGCTCATTGGCAAATTTGTCCAGCTGCTTCTTCAGAGGCTTTTCCAGTTCAACCCAGCGGTCCTGCTGGTTCTTGCTGAGAAACCAAAGGCCGAAGTAGTGAGTCTAGACAGAGAAACACATGAGTGTCAGTTTACCTTTGCCAGCTAGATCACTCACACGATGTCACAAATGCAAATAAGAACAGATGGCACTGTGTACATTTTTCCATATGCAAAGTCAGAGTAATTTCTTTTTTACTGCCTTTTTTAATGGGACATTTTGAAGACAATGACAAATTAATATTGCAATATACTTCACAGTGCACTATCTGCCTTCTACCATCTCTCCCAAATGCATATTGAAGAGTTCTACATAACATTGTGGGATAGGTGACATAAATGATTTACAGAAAGTGCCTGAGTGTTTTCTCAAGGGACACCTGTGCTTTGTGAACAGACAGCAAACGCCAAGCCTGAATTAAAGTGCAAAGGCTTCATAAGACTTTGAATCAGGCCCACTGCACACAAAGGACAAGGACTCCTCCAACTAGAAAAAAAAATAATTCAAACCAACATGCATATGTCAAAATATATCTACCAATACCAGAACCATTTACCCAACACGGAATTGTTCACTCTTATTTTTTTTTAACTCACTCACAAGGTTTTATGATGGACAAGTATACAGTTAGAATGTGCACATCACACAAGTTGTTTGCCCTAGGCTCCACAGAAATGCCAGGTTGGAAACCTCAGCTGTTTCTTGCCCAGTGCAAATCTCAATGACTGTAGCAGCTCCTGTATGAGCCACGTGGGACTGCTGCTGGTGAAGAGGAATTAACACAGAACAGCACTCAGAACTACAGCTACAAAGTGGCAATAAAGCTGCTGAAGGAATAAGCAATCCATCATGAAGGATTTTATTGAAAAGCACTTAAACATCAAGTACTATGGCTGCAGATCTGAAGAAAAAGTGAAGAACATTGTAGCAGACAAATTGCCGATGTTAAACTTTGCAAAATCCACCATGAACAGCCTATTTCATGCTGGTATGAATGTTTCTATAAAAACCATTGCACACACCATGACTTAGCACACAACACAAGGACAAGCAATACAATACCAAAAATTTTAAATGTTCACAAATGGCAACAAACCAGTAGGGAAGCACTGCTCCAACTACTTTATAGCTGAAGGCATGCAAGAGACAAACATGCAAGACTCTGAATGTGAGCACAGGTGTACTTACTTTAGGGTCTCATTACATGCATATTTTCAACTTTGGACAACATCCAGACTAGCATTTAACTAAGGTGATAACTAATTCAACTTGATTCCTCATTTAAGCCTGACAAACAGCTTGAGCACTGCTCAGTCTGGTACAGTGAAGCAAACTTGTTCTTTTGTAGTATTTCCTCCTAGAAATTAAAGGTATCTTCAATAAATCAGTCAATCAATCAATCTACCTAGGGCACAAATAAATCAAGAAGTCAGCATCTCCCACAGGATAAACTTCAAACAAAACTAACCTCACAAATGTTCCCTGATATATTTCTACTCTCCCTTTGTAGTCACCAGTGGATAAAAAGTTCTTTCTGATGAGTTCACCTTGGTAGTAATTAGATTAAAATGAAGGTGGGAGGGACAGTGGAGGCAGCAAAGAAAAGGAATTAATGTGAAGGCAGAAAAAAGCAGTGATTTTACTACTTCTAAAGGGAAACCCTTTAACACACTTGAAAATCACTGCAGGGCAGCTCATCCTCAGCAATAAACAGTGCAGAGATGCAAAACCAGAGCTTCCATATTACTTGGAAAAGTAAACATTCAAAACAGCTAGAACCCCAAATTTGAAGTGTGAAGTACTTGTAAAACATCTATCAAAGAAGAAGATTTGGACTCTGAGGCCTAGAAGAGTTATTCAAGGAATTCAGGGATTGCAATTAAACAGCTCCAATGAGCACAGTCCCTCCCCTCTGAGTGGGGGCTGGGAGACAGAGCCAGTTTAGATTTGCTACAGTAGAAAGGCTCTTCAAGTACCAAATCTAGAAGCAATCCCAAGGAACAAGAAGTAAATGAAACACAGTGCTGTTGAAGCTTCTAGATTACAGCAGGTACTGTGGAGCAAACAGGGCAGCATGCATTTTGCACAACTAGAAGACAACTGTTTTCCTGGAAAGCAGCCTGGAGAGGATCAAGCTACTGCAGCTGAAGCACAGGAACTGATAGCAGAGCAGAGCCCATGTCTCAAATTCACTCACTTTGGAGAGACACAGTTATTTGAAAATCAGGTCCCTGTTGCCAGCAACTTCACTTCTTGAAAATGTCATGTGTTTTTTAAGAACCTGCAGTGGAGGACTCCTGTAGACACTGCTGTGCACACCTGAAGAGACCCTCCCCACTACGAGTATCAGTGATCCCCAAAAAGGAACAGAAGAACGCGGGACTGGAAAGAGGTGGACCACCAAGTTCAACATGCTATGAGAAGGCATTTGGCTCTCCAGAAGGTGAGTCATGCCATGCTGTCCAGTCCACAAAGCATCCCCAAAATTAGCTGAGGTTATAAAAAAATGGGATCTTCTATCTATAAGCAGCTGATCAAAAACTAGGCTGATTCCAAAAGCTGGTCTGTTTGTCCACCTGCACAAAGTGAACCACTGACTTCACTCGGATTTCCATGGAATCAATATCTATACCTACAGCTGTCAAGTTCTAAAGCAACACAAATTACCCTCGAGGTTTTAAAATTTGTCTCACCTACCACACATGACTTCATATGTGGTACAAGGAAATTGCTTCACACTCCTCCAGGAGCTGCAGTCCTCTGCTAAAGCAGCAGACAAGAACCACAGCACTTGGGTGCCAGAATGAAAAGGTGATTCTCAAAATACAGTGCATACCAACACCAGACTTACAAAAACTGCACTGGGAAGTCTTAAAATAGGTGACATTATAGCTGCCAGTTCAGAAGGCAACATACTTGTTTTGGACTTGGCCTTAGCTATCCTCCCAAGTCCAGAACTACCCCTGCCTTTACGTTGGGCCAAACAAGGAGAATGGTCACCCTCAGGAGATGACAGAAAATCACTAAACCAGCAAATGTCATTCTAAAAGATTCATCAAGCCCAGCTCAGTGTTCGTTAAAGAATCTGGTTAGTTGGCCAAATAAACATTTATCCTTGAGAAAGACATGGAGCTCCAGCTTCTCCAGGCAAAAAACTTTAAGCCTTGCTATCCCAGGGCACTTGAACAGAGGGGAAGGTGCCATTTACAGCAGCCATTTATTGCTTTATTCATAGAAGGACAATGTTTTATTCATAGAAGGTCTTTTGTCCAAGCACTGCCTGAACCCCACCTCGGCTTTGCTGGCAAGACAAGTCAAACCAAGCCACACTTGGAGGCAAGCTGGCTGCAAAACCCCATGTTTCAGCTGTGCCCTGAAGGAAAGGAGCCCCTTCTGGGCCACTAAAGGTCAGAGCAGCAGCAAAAGGCCAGCTCTGCACAATGCACAGCACTTGCCTGTGGTGCTCAGCTCACCAACCTCCTGCTTTGGTTTGGGGCTTACAGGATGAAAGTGATGGACATACCATTGTGAAATTTGGCTCACAAGAATAATTTTGGTTGGGAAGAACCTTCTTGCCCTCTCTCCCACCTACAATACGTCAGAGCATACCACCTTTAAACATTTTAACATTTTAGAAAGTGAATTAAAAAGAACAAAAAGGATAAGGAAACGTGAAGACTTCCAACAGATTTGTACATATTACTATGCTACTTCAAGTAGGTTCACTTAGTCTGGAATTGGAATGGAAAAATTACATTATATTGGGGAAAAATCCTTTTCATAAACTGTGCACATACATACATGATTATAAAATTACATTTTTGGCCTTGTCTTTCCTCTCCCTTCCTCCCCTCTTGTTGTCTTTACCTTTTACATAATGCTGGAATAAGATCACATTTTATTGGAACCAGTAACTCTTCAAGTAGAAGACCTGATGCTTTGTCAAGAGCTTTGCTGAAAAGGATAAAACCAGATTTTACAGTAGTTACATGGCTCCACTTTCTGCTGACCTGCTCCTGAACCCTGAGTCAGTCAGGCAGGGAGTTGCATTCCCCAGAGATCAAATAGAAATATGCATAATCCACCAGATACTGTTTTTCAGTCATGTGTGGTATGATCGACAGTCCCTCACAACAAGGCATAATCTCAAAGAGTTTTGCTTTCCAGCAGGAAGGGTTTGGACAGTTTTTTGTTCATTTCTAAGAATTGGATTGAGTGAGACATGGATGCATTCCTAACTTGAAGGTATAAGCTGTGGTACACCTGGGGTTTATTTGAACATAAAACCAAACTGAAACTGCAAGGAGGAGACAAACTGGATTTTAGCACTGTTTTGTTAGCATGGGACTTAATAAGGGTTGGCTTATCCTTACTTGTGCATCACAGCTTGCAAATCAGGATTTCTAAGAAAAGGCATATGCCAGCTGCAGGTTTTGCTGCATTCAGGGAATTTTAAAACTCTCTCTGTGATATGAATGCTTGCAAGGATTTTTGCCTCAGGTACACTTAACACACTTCTCTACTCAGCGATCCAGTTGCACAAATCTTGTAGAAATTTGAGCTTTGTGAAAATATTTTTGACCCTTCAATAGAATTTGGGTGGACAGTGAGGTCAAAAATTATGGTAAACCTAGAGAGGAAAGGGGACAGTCATCAAATTACCTCATCATCCTTACACTCAGTGGCAGGAAGACTACGGGGCAGAAGAATTGAATTTGGGGTCTGAAAGAAAGAACAGCACCAGGCACCTCCAAGCTTGCCAGCTCCAATTATTCCTCATCCAAGGAGCAAAAGAAGACACAGGGAGACCCTCTCAGAGCTGAAAGAGCTAGGTAATTCTCTCCTTAAAAAAAAAAACAAACGCAAAACACCCACTTCTATCAAAAAATGCTGCACTGTTGAAATCTGAACTTTACAAAACCAGTTCAACGTTGCCAAAGCCTTGTTTAGAAAAAAAAGCAGGGAGGGTGATGAAAGAAGGGGAATGCGTTCCAACAACATCAAAGCATTCTCTTCTATGTTGTTAAAATATTTTTTTTATCTTGAAACACAAACTTTTTGTGCTGACATATTTCTTTTTGCATGACAGAAATCATTTGGAAAATTAAAAAAACCCAAAGCAATAGAAAACCCCCATAGAACTGAACATGGACCTAAACAGCTTCCTTTGCTACTCTACTGTCTAATTTCATTTCTCTGGAAAATTTTGGAACTTCAGGCGTTGCTCCAAAGTGGAAGCAAATACGTTCTGAGATCACAAAATGCTTTGTGGAAAAGGACACTGACCCGCTGACAGAGCTATTGTTTGCAAATGCAGGTGGACCTCCAGAGAGAACCAGGAGGCCCCAGACTTCTCCTGCACCAACTAGATAAGCTCACAAGGAACATGAGGAGAACCACTTCATTTATTTCAATGCTTTCTGCATTGGAAGGAAAGAGAGAACTTTGGTTCTTCCCAAAGGACACCCTAGGGCATCCCCAACAGAAAGGAAAAAAAATGGAAAAATGATGTATTGATAAATCTTCATCTCTGTAAGTAAAGGGAGGAGAGGGGAGATGATTCTACTAAAATTCATATTTAAACCAAACAAGCAAACAAACCACTCAAGTATGAAATGTACTATGCAATATTCCTTCTGCCCTGTTCCTGCCTGCACATTTTCCAGCCTATTCTGGACACACACACAGAGCTCTCCCATTCTTCTCCCATTTTTATCATTATTTAAAAAGAATTGTTTAGTTTTCAGATATTGGAGTTATTTGTATGCTATCTTCCAGCTGCCCCCACTACCATGGGCAAACTGAATAAAACACTGCAAGATTTTTAATTTCCCCAGCTGTGCTTACAGAAAGTATCAGGCAGGACAGCCAGATGATAACACAGCAACTTCCAGGCAATGGTTTTCCACTTATGATTTGCAGAAGTCTAGAAGCATGTAGGATACACACAGGGAGCCCACAGAAGGTATGAAAAGTCAGTCAGTCCACTTGTGCCATGCACTTTGGAGAGGTATTTCTATAAAGGATTCAACACTTAAATACTAAACACTTCAACACAGCAAGAAGTAGAAAAGTAAGAATTTCGGTCTTGAATAAAGACTGGTTTCTTCAACATTTCCAGAAGCATTGGGAATGTAAAAGAAGACTTTTAGCATTTCAGATGTGAAATATTAAACAAAACCAAAAGGAAGAAAAACCCCACGAGTAAAACACAACTGTTAGTGTTACTGTTGCCCTCTTCGGTTTTATAGTAACAAGAGTATTTACATAAAGGCAGATGTTTAAAAGCCGGTAGTCACCTTCCTATCTGCATAATTCAGCCATCAGTGCCGTGAAACTAGGGCTACATTCAGAAAATAAGTTACTGTAACTTGTCCTTTGGCATCCCAGCTCAACAAGTAACATTCGCGGCTTTCTAAGAAAAGAAACTCGCTGTTACAAAGAGCTCCCAAAGCCAGGACGGACGAGCAGCAGCCCAAAGCCCCGAGCGCCGCTCCGTGCAATCAGAGTGTGTTTGTCCAAGCTCCAGCTGCTGATCGTATCTGGCCAGCCCTGAGAACAACATGACTCAAACGCACAGACTGTCCGAGCTAAAATCGCGTCCAATTACCCAGTGACAGATGGTGCCTCCCGAGCCGCCCTTACCTCGCGCAATTCCAGCCTCTGCGCGACAGCCTCCAGGCACTCCTGGCCCGTGCTCTCCACGGACAGGGTGCACTCGATCACGTTGCTGTCCAGCAGACGGATCCTGGTCACGAAGCAGTTCTTGCTGAGCACGTTGTAGCGCCGGGTGCGCCGCAGCTTGAGCCCGAACGGCATGGCTGCGGACAGCCGGCGGGATCGGCCCTGCCCCGGCTCTCCCCGAGCTACCAGCGCTGCTGCCCGCCCGCCTCCGAGACCGCTTCAGCTGGCACCGCTCTCCTCCACAAACGGAGGGAGCTGTCCATTCCTGGGGCGAGCTCCACGGGATTCCTGCAAAACACACGCACAAGTAAGTAAGGAGACCCAAGTGCGAAACAAGACGTTCCTGAAGTTCAGCGGGAAAGAACTTCGCATTTTAAAACCATGAAATAAACACCTCCACACACAGGATTGCCAGGTACTCACTACATATCCCAAATGAATAACTTATACAACAAATCTTCCAAAATACTGTGTTGGCGCTGAATTTAAAGGACGGATTTAATCGCAAAGCCGTTCTTTGAGAGGCTCAGTACAAACAGCAACTCTACAGGGCACTCATCCAGAGGTGCTAACTCTCCCACCATTACCCCCACCACAGGGGTCTATAACATAATCTTCGAGTTTTCATGCCCTTGGGCCAGCTTTGAAAACTGGTTTAAAAACCTAAGGAATAGAGGCTTTGAAAAGAGGCGCGATCTTGAAAGAAGAAAGGCTGGCTGCGGGTCCGCAGGAAATGCAGGCACTCAGCACCTCCGAAAAAATCAAACCTAAAATATGCATGTGAAAAGCAAGAAGCATCCGAGCCATTTCAGAGGAGCCTCCTCCGAGGCGATCCCTCGCGTTTTGCTGGCTTCCATCCCCAAACCCTCCTAGGTGCAATGAGTAATGGCAGGAACGCGGCTGCCAGAGACCGGGGCAACACCGAGTGGGAGGAAGAGAACGCATATTCTAGATATTCATTCTAACCAGCACTCCTAAAATTTATCAGGGACACATGCAAGTGCTGAGCCAAAACACAAAGTAGACAGAAGAACTAGAGATACAGGAATAATGACATTTAAGATGTATGATCCTCACTTGCAAGAACCACTTCCTTTAAAGTGAAACAAACCAAAAGAGTTTAGCTGAAATCAGGTTCAAGCTGAACTAAAACAAAGCATTTGCACTGACATAATCAGCTCTAAAATGCCATTTTCCACATGCCGAAAGGAATGAAGCAAATAGAAAATTACTTGCCACCCGGTCTTCCTGGTTTTGTTTGAATATTCTGGGGCAAAAAGTAGAGGAACACTAATGGTGACATTTAAGAGTCCATTTCTCTTAACCAATAGTACTGCAAATGAAGAACTAGATCCCATTTCCTCATTTCTTAAGAGAAACGAGGGAAGGCAGTGCCAGCAGAGTATGCATCATTTGAATGCACCAGCTGAGCGTGACATTTCAAACAGATAGTACATTGCCCACACGTATCCCTTGGCACAGAACTGCATGAATCAGTTATTTTCAGTTTTTACTGAATTTAGTTGCTATAGGGATAATTAAAAGCTGCCCAATGGTGACTACAGTGGTTATCATTACACTAGAAAAATAACTATCACATTTTTACATGAAGTGTACTTTCTAAAGCCAGTATAACTTGACATTTATTAGGGAGTTAGAGCAACACAAACAGAACATTGAAAAAAAAATAAACACACAAACAGAAAACCACTGGTTAGGTGTGTGACTAGCATGGTAGTCTACCAGCATCACCAGACAAAAGCCTAGAGACTAAGGGAGCACTGCTATTTGACTGAAGTGCAAACAAACCTATCAAATTAGCTGCTGTGGTTTAATCTCCCATTTTTAGCTTTCATGGGTACAGACATAATGTATTATTTTCATGTAAGTGCATGAGAGGGCTGTTATACCATGCATTGCTCTAACATCAGAAGCCATCAAAGACATAAATACATAAATCCTCACAACAATCTGATGAGGTAGGGACATGTTACCCAAGACTCACACAAAAGGAATTGAAACAAACGTTCACCAGCTTGTCCAGCACTGCTCAGAACAGTGGCTGGAGATCTCACCATCACCATGCAGGACTGCTTCAACCCCTAGCCAAGTATTCACCAACTGCCTTGCTGACCAACCAATCTGAAACTATCGCCTGAATCTGAAAAGTGGGAAGAATGAAAGGAAATTACAGAGAGGAAAGGGTGGGGAGGACTACATCTTATCAAGGACAGCATTTTTTTTTCAGTCTGGCTTCACAGACTATTTTAAGTGGGACACAAGGAGAGTTTTAGCTAGATAATTCAATTTCAAAAAACACTTTTCTCTTTCATTACTGTTAGTTGCACACATTTCCTTGCAGAGCACGAGCCGTTCCCTGTATAGTAATTGTACAGTTAGCAGTAGCCTAAGGATGAAATCAATGTTAATTAAAAAAACCCCAAGTGTCTGGCCTTGCTGTCCAGGTAGAGCTACAGCTGGACAAGGCATCCCAGAAGGGGTGTGTGAAAACAGGCTATTCTGGAGCAAACCCATCAGCTCCTGTGTACCAGAAATGTCAACATGGATTGGACATTAACTGCTCTAAGTTGTATCACACACTCAGGAAAACAAGGCCAGTATTTCCCCTGCTTTTCAAAAGCAGTAAAGGAACAGGAGTTTTCCCTTAATTCTGCTGAGGGCAATCAGCTGGCACCATTTTCTCAAGGCGCAGGTGTACAAATGGTTTAATGGATGCACTCTGTGTAATACAGACTGGGTTACTTTTCCATTTAACTTAAATATATATATATGAATGCCCAATGACATCTCACTCACGTAAAAGATCACACTTAACCTAGCTTCCAGTTAAAGAATTAAATGGAATGGTAAGGCTGGAAATGCTTAAAAACCACTCAGATTGCCCCAGCTTGTAAAAGCTGTTAATTCTCAAATCAATGCAGGTGTCTTGAGTTTTTTGTCTACACATATTCTGGATGTCTGACCAATTTCTCACTGGGTTTTCTGTTAAGGTTACTAAGTATGATCTCAAAGACAAGTCATTTACAGGCACCTAAAGGTAAAATAGGTTTTCAGTGTTTGCATCATCTTAAAACCATCAGGAGTATTCATTTTTATTCATAGCTATTCTGTACATGACTGAAAAAAAATGCCATTGAGAGACAGGAATGTTTTGGTCTTCCAAATGAAGGATTATTCCATTACTGGATCTCCTTTCCCCATTTACAGGTTGCCTGGGAGAAGCAATGTCCCTAACAAAGTCATCCCAACTGTGCAGGCATTCACAACACTCCCCTCCTCAAACTCACTCTTCCACTTCAAACCAGTGAAACTAATGCAAGCCTATAAACAGCTAATCAGATAACCATGAACTTGTTCTGATGTTAACAAAGGATTTCTATTAAGAGCATTTCAGGTGTGAAAGGGAGACATAACATCTTAAACTAACATTTTCTCTTAAGAATTTATTTTTCTGAAGAGAAATTACACTGAGCTCCTTTGGGTACTTTTTTTCTTTTTCGTGTATCAATTGCTCTTTGCAAATTAAGCTCATTCTAAGAAGTATGCTGAATTAAACAAGGTTCTTAGAGCATAAGCTTTGGAATTTAAACATTCTGCTAAGTGGAAATTCCTTATGCTTAAAGTACATACTCTGTAGGTCTACAAAACACACACAAAACCATAAAGTCCTTCAACCATTTCTCAGAAAACAGCTATGGAAAAAAAGGTATCCTAAATGCAGTTTGAAGACAGATACAATATCTTTGTGGATTCTTGGTAAAAATTTATATTCCCCTACTTCAATGGACCAAGAGAAAACTGAACAACAAGACAGTTCCTTTGCTATCACATACATTGGAATCAGACTCTTTATGGTATTTACTTGAAAAAGCCATGTGGGTAAAGTCAATGGCTGTGGAATGGGGAAGACAAAAATGAGAAAACACAATAAAGAATGAAAACCAATTTCAAATTTGACACAGAATAAAACTAAACCTTCAATTCATGATCTCATGCCAAGCACAAGTTCTCCTAAGAGCCTTCACTAGCAAAGAGCTTATAGAAAACCACGTAAGTCTCAGCTCAAGACACTCTTACCTATCTCTTTCTCCATCTGTGACTGAAGGGAAACATCTCTCTTTGCTTGGAAGCCTTGCCAGTGTACTGCAAAGGCAGCAGACACAGAGGTATGGATCTCTCCAACAATATTTGATTCCTCCACAGCACCACTGCATCTTGCAAGGGGGAAAGAAGGACTCCTTGATCATTCTTGCAAAAAATCCTTCTCAGTATAGAAGGGGTTTCAAGAGGTATCATTTCCCCACTGTCCAATCATAGAATACTGCTGTTCATGTACCAAAAGGTAGGGGGGAAAAGGCATAACTCATACAACCAAGAACATCTTGCAAGCACAATGCTGGGGACCGAAGAAACATCTTCAAGATGACACAGCTATAATGGTTTAGGCAGGAAAAGGCTAATCCATTAGTGCTGTTAGTGACCTTAGCAACTACTCGTCTTCACTGGCCAGTCCTACATGAAGAAATAGGTCAGATTCACACTGTCATATACAGCACAGAATGGCTTCTGATTTTTAAGAAAACTTTGTTGGTTTCTCCATAGAACAGAAATTCTACTTAGGAATTTAAATTATCTGATACAGATAAAAATTTGTGCTTTTCCAAACCAGTAGTTTTCTTGTTGTTTTTTTCATTTTTAATGAGACATTGCAGTGAAACGAGATCAAACCACTACTACTCAAAAAGCAAATGAAGCAATATTTTACAGGTTTTCCAAACCTAAAATGAAAAGAAGCCAGAAATACAAAAAATTCTTCCTCAGTTCTGCCAAAGTCAGCTGGGGCTGGTAAGATTTTTGTTTGCTAGTAATTTTAAAAGACAGACTGAAGGTATCAAGGGAATCCAGGTTGCTTGGTGGTTCAAGCAGAGGAAGAGGCCATCAGGCAGAAGCTGCTTTGCGAGGTGAAGGGCACTGCTCCAGTCGCTGGGCATTCTCCCACTTAGTTAGATTTATTTGAAGGCCAGAAGTGAAGAAAAGCTTATAAATAATTAGGGGCAATGTAACTCTCAGGACATTTCCAAGTACGTGACTCTCTCCTCTCTTAGAGACAACAGGTACAAACTGTACTACATTCAAAGGAGCATTAAAAAAAGAATAAATATCATCTGATACAAAACGCACTTAGAGCAGAACGCTTTCCTGCACTTCGTTTGCTTTTGTACGTAATTTCTGAGACTCCAGGAAGAAAGCAATTATGTCAAACTGCAGCCTGTATTTACCAACAGCACCTGGCAGCCCTCCAGCATTCCTGGCACTGCAGGAGCAGCAGCACACCTCAGGGAAGTATGTAACCCTGGGCTGGGCAGCGACCGCAGCACGGCAGGGCAGCTGCGAGCGGTGCGCTGGCCTGCAGCTGTAGGGAAGAGTGAAAATAACAGGGCATGGGAGACGAGGTCTGGCACAATCCATCTCCATCCGGCTGAGCTGTGTCTAGAGGAGGAGATCTCTCCCGTGAAACAGCTTTCACCTTGAGTGCTCTCATTGCAGTCTCATGCAGGTAGAGCACAGCAAGGAGCATTTTGTGCCTAACAAGGTGTTTGTAACCCACCCAGTTATGGGTGGGAGTCCCATACAGCCTCTCAGGAGCCTAACTCATCTCTGGACGGAAAAAAGTGGTATTTAACCCTTACATAATAATAAGTCTTCTGCCACAAGGCCACTATCTTCAACTACTTGTTTATACAGTCCCTGCCGAGACATAGGCCTCATCCTCAGGCATTTAAATCTCCTTAAAAATTCTTGCAGGCAGGAATTTAAATATTTCCCTAATCCAAACAGTAATAAAATTATTAACACTCTCACCTCTACATTCTGGAAGAGGAGTCAAATTACAATTTAATTTAATTTTTATAACTAATATTCTGTGCAGAACTTTTAGAGTTTGTAAGCATCCAGAGATGCCATACCTGTGTGCATGGACAGAAGCCAAGGCTTCTCTGGGACAATGAAC